ACTTTATTGTAGGAATATCTGGGAACACAGTGTTCCATAACCGTAGGCTCCATTAACTTTGAATCAAAAATATTTGAAAGAAATTCCAGAAAGTTCCAAAAAGCAAAACTTGAATTTGCCATGTGCTCAGGCAATCATTTACATTGTATTTACAAAGATTTACATTACATTAGGTATTATAAGTAATCTAGAGATGATTTAAAGTATAGGGGAAGATGTACGTGGGTTATATGCAAATATAGCCATCTTATATAAGGGATTTGACACGGATTTTGATATCTAAGGGCATCCTGGAACAAATCCCCTGTGGATACTGAGGACAACTATATTTTATAGATTTCTGGGGTTGTGGTGTGTAGAATTTTTAGGCTGAGAAAGATGAGGAGCAGCCAATAATAGTAAGACCTGACCAAAAAAATTCAGTTGCTATTTCCTTTTTGTTTCTGCCTTATCTGTACTTGTATCCAACAACAAAAAATACACTCTAATTTGCAATACATGTTAGAATTTTAAGCAGGGTTTATCTTTTTAAGGGAAAGTGGACTTTGGGGCTTAAGTCTGCATCACTTCTACAGCAATATACAAAGCACATTCTCACCATCTGGTAAAACAGGTGGCACCATCCCATTTTTCAGAGGCCTGTGCAGCCCAGATGCAGGCAGGCCCAGAACACAAACTCAGGCTCAAGTCCAAACACTGTGCTCCTTCTCCAGAGCATGATGCCTGCAGAAGAGCCCAGCCTCATACCCGATCCCACAGCCTCTTGAGATTCCTGGGCAAGGAGCAAAGAGTACAGCAAAAGTGGACGCGCCTCTGCCCTCAGTGGCGGGCAGTCCGAGGGAAGAGGCAACAGGAGGACTGGGTCCAGACAAGCCAGGGGAACTGGAGCAAGGATCACACAAGTAAGGCAGAACAGCACCAAGGCTGACTTGAAAGCTGGCCTGCCTGTCTCTGTTTTGTTACAAACACCTTTACTCATTGGAGGAAAAGGACAGGGCGAGCTGCTCTACTTAACATTTCTTTCCATTGTTGCCCTAAGTTAGGAATATTAGATATCTTTGTCAGTCTTGTCTGTCACCTCTTCCCTTGCTCTTAGTCATCTGAGTACATTTCATTCATTCATTTGATCTGCCAGACCTGAGTTAGAAGCTGTGTTGCCTGGCCCTCAAGTTGTGGGCATAATGCAGAACATGGAGGAAGGTTCAAGACTCCAACTTGCAGACAACATTATGAGCAAAACCCACCTGGAGAAGATGGAGGGAGACAGCTTAGCTCATATGTCTCCAAACTTGTGGTCAGCATCTATGGCAGGGAGCTGAGTTTGCATTCTCAGAATGTGTGGATGCATAAAAAGGGCAAAATTATACAACTTTTATCAGATTAGACAATGAAACTATTTAATACTAAGAGATAAGAGTTGATCAGAAGTTTTTCTCCTAGGAAGTGGGTAACTCCATCGCTGAAAACAAAATCTGTTACCAAAATAGTAGCCAAATACAACTCCAAATAAGAGACATGGTTGTAGTATGTGGTTGCAGCCTTGTGAAATGTCTGATGGAAGTAGTGCTTCTTTAATTCTAACTTAAAAGAGCCTACTCAAAGTGCACTGCTTGGGAGGTTCTAGTCCAGGAGTGGGCAAATGTTCTTTTTTCCTTTTTTAATAAAATGCCCGATGGCAAATATGTTTCCTGTGGGCCATATGGTCTCTGTCCCAGATACTTGATTCTGCCTCTATAGTGAAAATGGAGCCACAGACATTATTAAACATATAAGTGTGGCTGTGCTCCAATAAAATTATTTTCAAAACAGGCTGCTGGTCTAGAAGTATTTCTTCTAGCCCCATTATCTTAGAATAGCACTAAAACCTCTTAAGATCTCTCTTCTTTAAATTTCCTCATTACCCCCAAAGGCCACAGGACAGAAAGGAGATCCTAGTGCTGGAAACATGTTCCCCCCATGAAATGGTTCCTGGAGGGAGCAGGGCTGAGAAGTGTTAACCTAGGCTATGGATGCTGTAAAGGGACAACAAGAGGCCTTTGCCTCCTGGCTAGCTACTTGGGTCAGGGTCAGACCCACAGA